TAAAATGTTTATTTTTACCAAATTTGTTTTCATCAGAGGTAAACAATACCTTTTTCTTTTCTTTAAAAACCTAACTTGATAAAAGCATTTTAATTTGATTTAAAACTACTAATTCGCAATAATGTATTGCCAAAACAAACATCGACACCCGAAGATAATTTTTATAGACGTGTAATGACATACAAAAAATGCTATATGATTTAAATAAACAACAAAGGCAATGATTTATTTACATTTTAAAAAAATCTTCTAAAAATAACCTTAAACACACCTGTAATTTCTATAAATATTTCCTCGACAGTAACGTCATCTAACAACTCTGACCATAATGGCTTCCTAGTTGTTACATCTAGTTTCTCCTCACTTGGTGTGTTGGAAGTATTCCGTCTGACTCCTGCTTCAGTGATTAAATTGTATTAATCAAACAATCATTTTATATTAATCTACGTATTACTATGTAACAGAGCTTCAGTTGTGATATTGGTGGTGGTCAACCACTGGAGTTAATTGCTGACCCTCAGAGAAAACAAAAAACACGATTTTTTGAGTGAAGCTAGTGAGACACGTTTTATTGTACAGCTAAGCGTAGCCACTTGTCACACAAACCACTACCGGGTAAACGAGGTGAACTATGGCTAATCTGCCATATTTGACTTATAGTTAGTTATGGAGGCAATGATGACAAACTAAAAGATATAATGATTGACGTGAAAATATATGATGACTAGCTTGACGACCTATTTGTTCTATATACTTCCATTCAAGCTACTTGTAGCAGAACATCAGGACACGACAGCTCAAAGACTCATTCACTCCACCCCGATAACCAGGAGGACACATGACTCGACAGAATACCGGTTCAATTCGCTTGCGAGAGCAAACAACACACATGAGAACTAGCTGACTAACAAGGCCCGCAGTCCAGTTAGATTATGACCCTTAGATGGTTACACCTTTTATGTGTTACAATAGCCTTTACTGTTGTTTATATATATTTATGCTAGGTGGCTTGTAATCGCAGAGGCATAGCGACCCTTCCCGGCGCCCGGGGACAAACTTTCAATTTGGTGCCCCCCCCCCCCCCTCGGGATTTGCACCCCCTCCCTCAAACTTTCGATTTACACCCCTACCCCGCTTAAGCTATTTATAATACAACAATGCAGCTAAAATGACATTTTAATTTGTTTATTCGACGCATTTTGGCGCCCGGGGACATATGTACCCCCCCCCCCGCCCCCTCGCTACGTCTCTGTGTAATCGAAAAAAAACTTTACACACATTATAAATGCATTCGTTCGTTTATATAGAAATGTTAGCGTTATTTTTTATGTCCCTATATATTTATTGATGTATGTGTGTGTATGTCAAATAACTCTTATGCAGCAAAGTGGCCGATACGTTTCTGTTTTAATAAGATTTACAAATAGGGTAATACAACGCTTTTATAGATACATGAATGAACAGCTGTAATTTAAACTTGGTAGGGGCATGCTGTTTTAGGATTTGTCTACATGTGCTCGCTCACAGCTTTACGTACTTAATTAATCCATATTCTGCTAGCGTCCCACTTATGGGACGCTTGTAAAAAAAATTGCTAAAATTTATTAAAAACTAGTTAAAACACAAATTATGTTTCATTGTATTTGAAAATGGCTAGACTATTGAATTTGTGTGTGTTTTGTGAAAAAAATTAATTTAGAAAAATTTTAAAGTGCCGGATTCGCAGGACTTGTCAAAATGGCGGAAAAAAGAAAACATGCGCACAGGAAAATGCATATCTTCTAAAATATTAACATTTTAAGTGCAAAATACATTTGAAACTTGTAGCAGTACCATATTTCTATCTGATAAAAATTTAAGAGTAACAATTTTTTTTACTACTTCGTTATATCAAGTGTACAACAAGCGTCCCATAAGTGGGGCGCTAGCAACGAATGGCCCCATGTAGTTTGTTACACAAACGTCACATTTATTGGTCTCTAGCGAGAAACACAGATGCAAATGTTTATGTTAAATGGTTATTTATGGTTAAACAATTGTTGACTTTGTTAACTGTTGACTTTGGGGTGTTAAGTGGTATTTATAGATATTTAATTATGGCATTGAGCTATATTTTCTTATATATTATTGTATTAAAAAATTGCAAATATTGAAAAACTTACATTTTATTTTTAAGTTTTCAGAATTACACTTACCTAAGTATTTAATACCATTGAATATAAACTAATTTAGTATTGCTTAAATTTACTAGCGCGTGATATTAAAATTATAAAAAACCAGAATAATAACAATGGCCACGATTTAGGTGAAATGATTCAGTCATGGGGGTTGGTTAATAACAGATGGAAAGACTCTTCATATAAGAGAGCTTAAGCTACATATAGCAGAAATGTGAATTAGCTGTGTACTGTTGTCATGCCCCAATAATATTCCCCTCCAAAGGTTCCCGATACCAGTTTTACTTTGTTAACTTTTTAAGGAGATTCCTGGTGTTATATTGGGAGCTGTTCGAATAATGAGGTGGATACATGGATGAGAGCCATGAACACTCAATACAAGCCCCCAGAGACGGATCCGTGCCGTAGAAATAAGATGTCTGATGTCCTAATGTACACCTGTGATGGGGGGGGGGGGAATAGCGAGGGTAACAAAAGAGAAGATGGCTGGATGACATCTGGGACTAGACCGGATCGTCTTTTGCAAATTCACTGAGGTCAGAGTTTCTTTCAGGCATCATTTCGGAGGAGGGGGGGGGGGGAGTGGCTCTGCGCCCAGAACGAAATGGAATTTATATACAATACATACTTTTACAAATGTCCACCCTTCCCCTGAAATTTAAGTCCCCATCCCTGAAAATTTCAAGTACGCTCCCCAAAAAATCAATTATTTATATTTAATTATATTACAGTTTCGGTGAATAATAACAATATTTGTGATCATGTGTGTATAATTAGATGTACTAGTCACAGCTTTACTTATTTCCAAGTGTTATTCACTTTGATGGATGCTAGATTGAAAGAAAACTAGACTTTTGAACATAATTTCTGCATTTTAGACCATGGTATGGCTAATCCAATTGATCATTATCAGTATTTTTAGCTGTCCTAAACAATGTAATCATTGGTCTAACAATACAAAATCAGTATACAGCTTAATTTTTGCGTGATTAGCCATATTTCGTGATAAATGATTTTATTTTTCAATAAATGTACATGGGGCCGTTCGTTACTAGCGTCCCATTTATGGGACGTTTTTAAAAAAATTCGATATTTAAAAAAGTATTGATTTAAAAAAAAATCTATAGTCATTCTTTCATTCAGTGCCCAAAAGCTAAACCATATCAAAAAATTATAAAAATTTGAGACCTTGGGATAATATGGGTTAAATCAACTATAAATACACACAATATTAAATGGAAAACATTACAGCGTTACGAAGGCTTACCTAAACTACTCGACTCGATTTACCTAACTCTAGTATGTAGGTTTGCCCGATAGTCCGCTTAACTCGAATGGATGCGTTACTGAAGTTTTTAAAGGCAATGGAAATTGATAAAAATTTAGATCACACGCTATTGATTTTGTATGTCGAGATAAAAAAGACAGGTTAGCTCTAATTCACCTGCCTAATTGACCGTCAGAAAATACTGCATTCTTTATTAGGTTAATTCAAGAAAGCACAAACGTTTTGATATTTTAATCTAACGCTGTGTGTATTTTTTTCTTTTATCGCACCCTGGCAGAACTTGACATTGGTAATGTTATTCAGAACTTAAAGGTGAAATTTGATCACGTCACGACATATAATATACTAGACTTACTGTATCTGGTGCATGACGATAAGAACACGGTTCCAGCACATGGGTTTTTTTTCTCTAGGTCACGGAATCATTCCCAAAACCGTAAGTCATTTTTTTTGCTTGGCAGGTTTTATAAAAATAAAGACTCAAGTTGTTTTTAAATTTTAAAATGAAACATCTCAGTTTTTAATATGTTTCGTTTTAAATGTCAGTAATAGAAATAGCGTGTGATTAATAGTGTGATAATAAAAAGTGTGAATATAAGAAATGTTCAAATTTTAATTGGTGCACTTGTTTATTTTCAAGACAATATATCAGTCTAACTCATGGGTCTCCAAACTTTTCGGTCCGAGGGCCGCATTAACTATCAAATTTCAGTTCGGGGGCCAGTTTCTTCCAGGTATGTCTTTGATTTTTCTAAGCAAAGTTCCTCAGCCATCCCCAACAAACGATTTTTCCTTGGACAAAAAGATCTCCGCGGGCCGGATGATAGGACTTCGCGGGCCACATCCGGCCCACGGGCCGTAGTTTGGAGACCCCTGGTCTAACTGAACATAAATTAGATACCAAAGCTACAGTATACCCCATAGAAAGAACATTCCATCTGATCTTACCTGTATTGTTTAAAGTGGTGTTCATCGTTTCTGTAAAATCCTCATGCAGTTGCTGGTTTCCAATACCTGTAATTTCTTTGCTCTTACTTTCATTCGCGTTTATAACTACATAAGAAACAGTTATAACATAATTAATTTTGAATGAATAAAAAACGTAATAAATACAATCGTTAAAATATACATATATAGGTTCCTATATTGTTACACAGAAGCAGACAAATTAAGACACTTGATATTGTGCTATAAGCACACCGTTTATTTGAATTCTTGAGAAAAAAACACCTTTTGAAAGGATACTGGCGGAGTTTCATTTAAATTCAAATAAAAAAAGAACAACTTTTATCTGAACCTGTTTTCTCTTCTGTGGTGCTCGCTGCCTCTTCTAAAAGGACGGACAGGTTCCCATAGAGTAGGTGTTGGTTTCCTAGTTCTATGCTTGAATTGCTAATACTTTCATTCTGCATTAAAACTGAAAACAACGAATATTAAGTCTAATTAGAAGTGCATTAACGCTTGCGTGAGAAATTGTGCACTGGGGTTTACTGTGTGTGTGTGTCGGTGTGTGTGTCGGTGTGTCTGTGTGTCTGTTTGTCTGTGTGTCTGTGTGTGTATCTGTGAGTGTGTGTGTGTCCGTCCGTCCGTCCATCCGTCCGCTTGTCTGTCTGTCTGTGTCTGTTTGTCTGTCTGTTTATGTGTGAGTGTGTGAGTGTGTTCGCAGGTTACCAGATTCTATTCGGCACCAAAAAAAAAAGATTATAAAGCTAAAGCAGCTTTTGAAAATCACCTGTAGCGTTTACAGTTGTTTCCCCTGTTTCCATATCCCAGTCATCTTCGTCAATCATGTCACTGATGTTTGTATTTGTTTGAATCAAGAAATCGTTTTTGAATTCTTCTTCTATATCTTTCATTAAAAGATCCTTTAGCGCCTCAATATTACTTGCTGAAATGTTCTTATCGTCGAAATCATTATTATATTCTAGAAAAAATAAAAAAGGCAAATAATGATCATCATTGTTGTTTAGGACAGTGTTGTATAATCTATATATTAACAGCATGTTTTTTTTTAATTTACAAATGTTATTTGAAAAGTAAGATGAGTAGGCTAAACAACACACATATATACACACTATCTCTAACATAAATACGCACAAAAACAAACGTACACGTATACAATTCTTACCACTATTTGTTTCGTTTCTTTCCAAAGCACATATCACTCCAAATATACATATAGTAACACACAGAATGGCTGTAAACTTCATTTTTTTTTACATTCAGGAGAACTATCTATGTCACCAGCATCTAATGTCGAAGAAAATTAAGTTTTGTAAACTGATTCTCAGAAAGACATATTTAAATATAAACTCCTCGGCGATAATTTAATATAACATACCATAGCCAAAATACGTATTGTCTATAATAGTTTCATGCTTTTAATTTACCTGTAAATCAATCAAAATGATTACACTGTAATTTATTTTAATGAGAGACTTTTCTAAACTTCTGCCACAAACACAAAACAGAATAATATTTCCCACGAGCACAAATCTTGTTCAAGCGTCAACGGTAATCATATAACAAACACGCTATTTAAAAACATTGGGTTACCCACGGGATACCTGAAGCCTAGCCAGTCGGAACCAGCGTATTTACCAGTTTGTAAAGGGGAGGCAACAGGGAAGTAGATCAAGTTTTAACATAAAGGAATCTTATGTCATTGCTGTGATGTTTTTACTTGTAATAACATTTAAATATCATAAGTGATATGAACCACGTGACATAAGAAGTAGAGGCGTAGCTTGTGTTGTGTAGGGCGAGAAAGTCGGTTTAAAAAAAGCTCATTCTGAGATGTATAACGTAATTTTACACAGTATTGAGACGGAAGAGCCAAAAAATAAAATGTACAAAATTTCCAAATTTTTAAAGAGCCACTATCATTTTTATGCACTTCGGTAATTGAAAGCATGGAGCCATTGCCACGGCGTTGGCCACAGCACAGTAGTGGGGCTGGGCCCAATACCCAGAGCCTCTTCCGGGCATGTTATGAGGGGCGGGGTAAAAGGGGTTTCCCTCCCCCCGATAGAAATAGAATTCATTTGGAAAATATATACCTTTAACGATGGCCGCCCCACCCCCCTTCCTGGAAATTTTAGTACGACCATCCTGGAGATAAAAGTCTCAAAGAAACGAAAAGTGCTAACGCACAGCGACTGTCAGCTGTCCATATACGTTTTACTCCACCTATTCTCTTTGTTTTTCATTTTGTTAAAAGTTATCTTTGTTTTTACAGTATAAAACTTATTGTGTATTGAAAAAGATAATATAATTATTATGGAACTGGAGAGCTGCATATTTACACAAAAAAGAGCCGCATGCGGCTCGCGGGCTGCAGGTTGCCGACCTCTGGTATAAGTCAATGGTTTGTTACATGGGATCTATATCAATCGAACCCCATCGGTTCGGCGGAAGTCAAAACCCACACCCGACACACATGATTTATGATTGGATTCTGTCAGTGCGGATGATAAAAGTATTACGAAGGGTTCGGCGAATATGCATATAAATCTCGTGGGGTTCGGTAACACCAAAATACTGGTCTAAGTTGAAACAATGGACTACCACGTGACTTTGCTGATTGATTTCAATGTTGTCTACAGCAATTTGTGTGACACCTAATTAAATGTGATTGGTAAAAAGCTCCCACCTCTTCAAATTAATGGAGGGTTGGGGGTGGGGGACGGCTTTTTCGCTAACGTCAATATCTATATATAAATGGGTGGGGGCGCAAAATCGATAGTTCGCCCCCCCCCCCGCCCCGGGCGCCAAAATGGGTCGCTACACCTCTGATTAGAAAAAATCATATACAATTAGAAATATAAGGCACGAGAATGAGAAATAATCAAATGCAATAATACATATTTCAAACATGACGTACGAATGATTATATGCAAGACGTAATGGAAAGCCGTTATACCCGAAGCTAAGGATATGAGAAAAAGTGAAAAAAATGACTGTAATATTGTTCACAAAAATAAATTTGGGCTTCTTTAGTTCTAGCTTTGACGTCCACACATATACAATCTAACAACATACTTACTGTGAAATGCATCGCTTCTTTTAAAATCATTTTATGTAGATTAAGGTAAAGATATTACAGTTGCTTCCTTTTATCATACCAGCAAGATTAAAACGTATATGAAACTGATCTTTTTGTGTCAAGAAAAATAGCCTAATCGTAAAATCATTAAAACAGTTATATAAGGATCGGCTAAATAACAAATACGTACGTTAAGCTTGATGATTATCCTAATTATAGAAACATAACTATTGAGCTGACACACCTAGAGCATTAAAATACATTCGATACGGATAGTTAACCAAGCGTGCCCCCTTGTGACTTGATCATGTGCCAGACACCAGGAAGTTTTCGATTCCAGACATGACATTCATTCGTTGGGTATAACCAGTGTTTCTTCCAGACTTTTTTCTCCGGGGGGGGGGGGCACTAGAAATTTTCTGGGGGGTTGACTTTCTTTGGAGGGGGGGGGGGCGGACACTATTAAAAGTATATATTTTCTATATAAATTATATACATTTCGTTTCGTTCGGGGGGGGGGGGGGGGGGCGGTAGAATTTTTTCGAGGGGGGGGGGGGGTGCAAAGCCCCCCCCCCCCCGAAGAGGTGCCTGGAAGAAACTCTGTGTATAACACAAAAACGTTTATATGCAAATAAGCTAGTTTTTTTTTTAATTTAGCATTGGTTTACCAGATTAATGTTAATAAATATTAATAATCAATACAAATAATAGTAAGTAAAAGTTATATTTCGTACCTTGCTGTCAATCGGGCAGGTGAAGTAGAGTTAACCTGTTAAAATGATTTCGGCATATCGAGGGATAGTGTGGTCTGCACTATGACCAACCGCCTTTAAAGCATATTACGAGCTGGTATTTTCCCGTTTAATCTGATTAGCGGTTTTGGTATTGGAAGGGATCCCCATTGTTACAATGACTTTGATTTTCAGCCAGCTTTTCTTTTTGGATTTGCTTCCATAGTCTATGTCCAACCAAGAACATACTACAATGCAGCAGTTGTTTAATTTTAGAGCCTCATCTGCTCGAGGGTTCGTACACGAGATTTTTCAGTTTAGCAACCATGAGCTTTACCGACTCGACCACGCCGACCCCTTACATACCCGTTTAATTTACACGATTAAAACGACGACAACCTAACATGCCTAATTGAATATTAGAAAATACCAGAAATAAGCATGTCGTTTATTTTAATTTATTTTGTTGTAGCTATGTACTGTGTAAAAACCTGTTTAAATCAGAACATTAACAAAAACATCTAATTGTTACGTCCCTTACATGTCCCCGGCTTGTGTGTGTGTGTGTGTGTTGTGTGTGCTGGAACGACAGGTACCCTCCCTTTTGTGTATCGTTGAAGCCCTTGTTTGAGTCAAAAAATAAGTACTGTATTCCTATAACTTTTCATTTTAATTTTTATATTATTTTATATTATTTCAATGACTTAGCTAAATTTATCGTGTTTTCTGTAAACTAAAATAAAATCTCATTGTACCGACATAAGTGTAATTACAGCCAAGCTGCAGGAAGTGAATTGACGAGGGCACAACCCTGTAATATTCCACGTCCGTCTTTCCCACACTTTTCCTTATGATATTTTATGTTCAACCCGCAGCCCCACATTTGAATGACTGGGGGTGTTAAGTCATGCGTCGATGCCCAGGGAAACTTATCTCAGTCACCAAGTGTAAATTTAGAAGACTTAAAGTCGACGTATAGCTAGGAAATTTTTAAATTTATTTTTAATGGGTTTTTTTAAAAGCATTGATGGAAAACGTAACTATTTTATCTTACAATCAGAAATGTTTGTTATTGGGGAGTGGGGGTGGATAATGGAGGTCCGTAATGACGGTGTGTGATACGGAGGGGGGGGGGGGGTCAGATTGTGTGAAGTCTCACTTTTGCATTATAAGAAAGTTATGTTAGAAAACTAATTTTAACAATTAAAAAATCTATGTGGATCGAGATCAATCAGAATTTTTAGAAACAACAATAAATTTTTACACTACAATTTTGAGGGGAGTTGTTGGCTGAAGTATGACGTCATTTTTGTTTGAAGGGGGGGAGGTCTGGCTTTTTGTGACAATTTGTCACGGAGGGGAGGATGGACGTAAAAATACGTAAATAGGCGTGACGTCATATATAGATGATCAAAATTATAAAACTTCTTTAATGCTGTGTGCGCTAATGTTGTACTGTAGCCCAGTAGCGTTGGCAGGTAAAGCTCCAGCAAAGTTTAAGCAGGGTCTACGTCTTTTCTACAGATCAGCGCCGGTAGTTTTCGTCTCTTTCATATTTCTCACCTTAGGGAATCTTTTACTACGACGTTTTATTCAGTTTTTCTTTTCTTTTAAATATCTCTCAAGTGAAACATTGACGCCCACCCCCTCACAAGCATGTCCACCGTCTCACGAAAAAACAAAAGAAAACATATAATTCAACCAGAAATTTCTAGTACTCCCCTTCCCCTTGACAAAATATCTAAAAGAAACCCAGGCTTTATTTAACTCGGTAATATTAATGTAATATACCGTAACGAAATCTTGCTCTAGAATTCTACAGTTTGTGAATTTATTAGTCACATCTAGGTCTAGAATAACCCGATTTAACTCTTACCCTACTTTCATCCTATTCTAACAGAAACCTGATTTAAACATGCTAATAAAAATGGGGGGGGGGGGGATTCGAATTTATTTTCTATAAGCTAATAATATTCCTTAAGGTACATTTCCCTAGAAGCAACATCATATAACAAAGTCGGTTTGCTGTAGTTAAATATGTTCTTTTTTCCTTCACAGGAAGAAATAAAATATTTATATATATTCTTTGCACCAACCAGTCCGTCATATTTAAACTATTTTACGGATGTGCTTGAACTTTGGGCTGCTTTTTTTCCATATCTGCGTGTTAAAGTACAACGATTTCCCTTCCTCTCAAAGGTAATTAAAAACACCTTTATGATAACAATCTTTAAAAGCACTCAAAATAAAATAAAACACAGTTTCTGCTTAAGATATAAACTAGACCCAGTTTCCAGCTCGCAAATGGTCTATCTGCTGCAAAGGGACAACAATCCAATATCCCAGGTGTCCGTTCAAAAACCCGCTGGACAATAAACCCCTGGACCTAAACCATCGATTTAAACCCCTTCGACTTAAACCCCCGGCGATATAAATTCCCTGGACACAAAAAAAAACAATCGAGGTTTATATAAAGAAAAAACAAAAATATGACGAGAAACAAAATTAATAATTAAAAACAAAACAAACTTTAGAAAAAACAGTATTTTATTAAACATAAAAAAGAGATATTGTACGCGATGCCTCTCAAATACTCAATAATAATGGGCTTATTAAAATTTTTAACAGCTGTTTAAATTCGAGCGCTGCTTTCAAAATTTTTTTTTCTGTTTTCGTAACCAGTGACCTGAATTCATCTGTGTATAATAAACCTCTTGGAGCGATTTTGCC